AATCAATCTCTGAGCATCTCCCATCAACTCCAGTATTCCGTTAAAACGAGTCGAGTAGGCGGAGCCAATGGGAGAGCATCAGCTGTTGACTTACCACTGTGAAGAGATCATGGTAAGTAAATCTAAGTATGTCAACTTCCGCTACATTATTCAGGCTCTTCCATCTGGTGGAACTTCCTCCCAAGGTGGTAGCAACAGTCAGGTGAAGCTTGTTATGGAGTCAGCCTGTAGACAAGAAAGATTGTGAAGCCACCATCGGTTGAGATAATCAACCCATCATCTAAACATCTAGATTTCTGTCTGATCCACAACACTTTCAAGAAGCCATGGAAGCTGAGAGCCCAGCCGCTCCCACACAGTGCCCTGGCTCCTTTTTCCTGGACAAAACATTTGCCATGTTGGTAACTCTGAACAGTAATATATTTTAAAGGGAAAAAATTACTTCCCCGCTGTCCTTTGTTGGCGGTGATATTGGTCACTCTGTCAGGCAGGAATCCTATGTTCTTCCTGCTCATTCTCTTCTGGCAACATGCTACCCCACAAATTCAGCCTCTGGCTAGCTCATTATGCAGCTTCTTTTAGAGGTGCTAGAGGTGTTTCCCAAATGCTCTGTACTATTAAGTGCTGGTGGGGTTCTGGAGCTGCCTCAGTTAGTAGGGACAACTAGAAATGGCTTCTTTTGTATTCTCCAATCCCTTCCGTTAATTCAGGGTTGAGTACTGAGCTCCTCAAGGAAATACAAGCACTCTAAATATCTGCCCTTGATTTGTAAGCCACATGGCAAATCTTTGAGAACAAGCTGCATCACATTTGTTATTCAAGAGCACAACCAGCAGACACAGCCCATCAGAACTCAGTATATGTTTCTGCCTCATGTGAAGCAAATCTCACACCTTCCCATCATATCGACTAGGCGTCACCTACAGACTGTCCATCTTCCATCAGCACCCTGAAAGGAGAAACACATTATTCCCATTCAGATCCATCATGTACAGAGTACATAGCATTTTCACTGATGGATACAGGCTTGGCAGGATGATGTGTCTCACTAGGAAGCCTTCAGAACTTCCAGTCCTCATGAAGTCAAGTGAATTAATGTGTACCTTGAGAGTCCTTTGGCACCAGTCAGTGTATTTCATGCTCACCTTGAAGTTCTCAGCTGCTACAGCTGTTGACCAGGTTGGCACAAGATCCTTTTAGCTGCTATGCTAGTTGGCCACCTGTAGGCCAAAATTAGGTGTGGGATTTTTCAGCTTGCTTCTTTTCTTCTTCTGACTATTCAGCTTGCTACTGACTCTCATTGCTACTGCTTGGTGAAATGCAGCCAGAGCTCCAAGGTCTGTGCTGAGCTCAGAAAATCAAAACATGTCCTGTTGTTTGACCTGGATTTGATGGGATAGATTCTCTGGTCCACACCATCCTCTGAGAACAGGAGGCCTGAGTCAGTCACTGGAAAGGGAGGGACTAACAGAGCAGAACAATTTTGGTTCCAACTCACAGTTCTGCAGAGAATATTTGTGCTTTTTTATGTGAATTCTTTGGATTCATACATATATAGCTCAGTTGCTTGTATTCGTGCAGTAGATAGATGTTTAACCGAAAATGGCAGAGCTTTTACCAACAGAGAGAGGCCGAGAACTAGCAGGTACACCACAAATGGAAAGACAAATAGCCCAGATGGGGGAATCTGGTAAGTTGTGTAACAAATCCTGATGATACCATGGGAGAAGTCATGGAGTGAGAGAGCCACATTTTGCTGATTTACATTATTGTAAACCTGGAATAACTCCATTGACCATTGACATCTGTGTAACTGGGATCAGCCCTGAGGAAACAAAGAGAAGCTAATTCATCCTGGGTGTCATGCAGGAGAACAATGCACAGGCTGGTGGGCTTTGCACAGTCTGAGGGGGGAAATGAGCAGGGTTTTTACTGTAAAAAGTGAGAGGGGGTGCACACTCAGAGGTGGTGAGCAGCCCCCCAGAGACTTGCTGCTCTGTGGATCAGCAGAGACCTGTAAATTGGCTGGCATCAGGACCGTGAGTTGATGGAGCAATGCCAGGGGCATTGTGACATTTGGCAGTATTTAGATTCCACCAAGCTCAAGTAACAGGGATTGTCCAGGGCGGTGATGAGTGGGTACTGGCTCCAAGGACGGATCCTTTCTGTTACACACATGCCTCTATAGGCACCAACTTCAGAGGTGCTCAGCACCCATCAGCCACCTGTCAATCAGCTGTTCAGTGATGGGTGGGAGCAGTGAAGCTGGAACCATTTTTAGGGTGAGGGTGGTGAATTGTGCCCCTCCCCTCAAGCCTTACCCCATCTGTGCCCCTCTCTGGCACAGCTGGGGGCATCTGTGGAGCCCCAGACATGGGACCAATGGTCGGGGCCCAGGCCTGCAACAGAGCCCCTAGGCCCAGCAGCCAGGACCCCATATATGCAGCAAAGGAGCCCCCAGCAGCTGGGATCACAAAGCTGACAGTGAAGACAGTGGCTGGGATGCCGAGAGGCAGCAGGGACCCTACAGAGCCAAGGCCCCCTCGTTGGCGATGAGGGTACCAGGCATGGGCTGGTGGCTGGGACCCCAGCATGGGGCATACAGTTTGGGGGTAGTGCCGCAGCATGCCCTGCACCTCTACTTCTCGTGCTAATGGGCAGGAGGTGCTGGGGGGAGGGCAGATTGGAGCAAGGGCAGGATACACTTGGGGCAGGAGGTGGAGTAGGGGTTGGGAAGAGGCGGAGGAAGGGTGAGACTTTGGGGAGGGGACGGAGTGGAGGCAAGATGAGGTGGAACAAGGGTGGTTTCTTGGGGGAAGGGGCAGAGTGGGGGTGGAGCACCCCCATAGAAAAATGAAAGCCGGCGCCTGTACATGCTTCATATAGCTCGGTATGTGCATGGCTGTGCACAATCTGTACTAATTTTAAATGATACAGTATCCCAATGCATTATGGGATATGCCTAGACCCTGATGAAAATACAAGTGTCCTTTCCTGAGTGGTAGCCCATATCTGTACCCACTGGCAGCCAAAGGGATGGTAAGGAAAGGTACGATGGGGCCCCGCATTTTAAAAATGAAATCCACTGGCTCTAAATAGTCCCCTCACTTACATCTGTTATTGGCCCATTGACTGTCCTGCATTCCAGCAGTCTGGAGTGTATTTTGGATTAATGATGTGCTGTGAAGTTCATGTTTGGAATTAGCAACAGCAGGGTTTTTCTCCACTGCATTTAATTGTGCCTAACATTGAAGACTTTGATTAACACTTCTGGGAAGGTCCATTTCAGCTTTTGGGAGACCGTTTGGGCTTTGCTTTCTAGAATCCAGTAGGGGTGAATATAGCTTGAAAAAGAAACTTATGTGACACTGGTTTACAGACTATAAACATAGCCGCATTGGGGGGGTTGTTTGTATCTTTAGCAGTAGCATATACAATTAAATTGTCTTGCTTCAGCCTCTCATCCATACAGAACATTTTTATGCAGGCCTTACCTAGAAAGCAAATAGCAGCCTCCCCCCTCTCCTCCCTCTTTTTTGTTGGTGGTTTATATAAATTTGGCATGGTGATGGACATTTATAATAATAGTTGCTGGTTGAAATTTCTAAAATGCACTCCCAGGATGGCATTTCTTTAAAATGCTGTTTCATAACATGCATACCAATGATAGACTGCCTGCTAATACTGTAGCTACTCTGCATATAGAGAAAGCACTTTGTCACAAGTTAAAAAGCATTTAATTTTTTCATTCTACAGGCCTAGCTACTGAGAGTCAATAATAAAAACTAAATAGACCGGAGAAGAGAAATGGAGAAAGAGAAATCTCGATGGGAATATTTTTATAATTAAGATCTCAAATTGAAAGGGAGCATCAAACGGCTCAGTCAGTATTCTCAGTGAGTGTGTAGGAGATTGCGTGTAAAAAACCAAAAACAAAACACAAAAAAAGGAAAATAAGGACCATGCTTAAAAATATCTCCTGGCTGGCTTAGCTGCACACACGGTGGCTATTGTGCCACTGGAGAAGAACATGCCATGGTTAGTTGCCATTGTGTTTGCTGTTTGGGAGATCTGGAATAAAAATCAGCCTTTTTCTGATTTGTTTTAAAGAGAATAATCTTAGAAACCAAAATCCTTGGATTGACTTCAGTGTGGGTGAAAGTGGTGTGGAGAAACAGAGCAAAAACAATATGGTTAGTGGCAGTGACAGCTGCTTCTACTAGTCATGGTTCCTAATGTACACCACTGTGGGTTGTGCACTTGCTTCCCTGTGATGCCTTGCTAAAAAGTCTCAGAGCTAGGTGGAACAGCCCAAAGCAGGAGAAGGTAGCTGAATGTGCCATGATTCAGTCAGAAGTTGATCCCAAGCCTACTGAAGACTGTGGAAAGGCTTGTAAATGGTTGGTTTTTTTTTAAAGGTATTTGGAAATATTCTCATTGTCTTCAGCAAGCCTTGGCTATGTCCCATCTGAGCAGGCAGACAACAAAAGTAGTTAGCAGTGTGCTTGTGGTTTTCTGTGTTATCAACAACGATCCCCTTTGAACCAGGCTTTAATTTTTTTCCTCTGGTTCCTTGGTAACGTCAATATTCAGGGCCAGATCCTGCTTGCCGCATTTGTGCTCCAAAGGGCTACTTGTGCAAGCAAGCCAAATGTTCAGGATTCATGGGGTGAGACATTCTGGCGAGGTTTGTGTACTGCAAACCAATGAAAGGACTCAGCAGTGCTCTGAAGTCTTCCCCAGTGTCTCTGAATGCTACATACAGTGCAAATCCCAGATCGCCTGTCAAATTGCAGTATCAAAGAGTGACAAAACTTTGAAGTACAAAATACAAGAGAGAGCAAGAGAGCAGAGTGAGGAAGGCAAGACTGAGGGGAAACATGGTTCCATGGCCAGACACTTTGTGTCTGGTAAAATGTTAGTTTTTCAGCTTTTCTCTTTAAAAAAACAAAACCCAAAGCTTTTTATCCACAATTCTCTGTTATTTTTTTCTTTTGCAGGGTACAGAGAAGGGCTTCTTTGGAAGAGAGGACGTGACAACGGGCAGTTCTTAAGCCGGAAATTTGTGTTATCAGAACGGGAAGGTGCTTTGAAGTACTTCAACAAAAATGATGTAAGTGACTGGGCCACAGCACAGTCACCTGATGTTTTGTTCTCATGGGTTTGTCTTTGGTCAAACCGTCCCCATGGTGCCATTTTGTCATAAGGTGTCACTGGCTTTTCGGTGGCATCAGATCGTTTGCTCCTCCACTGCTGTAGGAACAAAAGCCCAAGGCCCAGATTAGTAAAGCTTAGGCATGGCTGGGCTCAGTGGTGCAATGCTGAACTGATTTAGGAGTCTACTTTTCATTTTAAAAAGGGATTTAGGCATGTAGGAGCCCAAATCTCGTCAACTCTCAATGAAAATTTGACTCCTAAGTGCCTAAATTCCCTCTCAAAATGATATTTAGGTTCCTAAATTGGTTAGGCATTACAACGCTAAGCTCAACAACATCTAAATACCTTTACAAATCTGGGTTAAGGTGCCTCATATTTTTGGGTGCCCTATGCAGCAGTGTATGCTGTGTATGCCTAAGGATGGCACTGGCAGGGTGATGTGGACAGTAGAGATTATTTTCTTTGTTTTACCCCCAAATCCTCTTGTTGCAATTCTCCTTCCCATCCAGGTAGAACTCTTGTTAGTGTCCAGCCCAAGCAGTTCTGAGCTCCCCAAACCTCATTTTGGTGCTTATCTGTAATTACCATCAGGGCAGTTCATTTAGTGGTCTCAGGAGAGACATTCTGATTCGATACGAACCAGTAGTTGCATCAAAACAATGTGACTTTCAATGCTGATCCCTCTCCGAGAACCCTCAAGCGTTGTCCCTCTGCTCCCCGACACTCCTTTTCTAATATCAGCTTTTTCCATGCTTATTTCCTCAATCCTACAATTTGCCAGCCATGTTGTGTAAGAGCTTAATGGTTATAAGATCTTTCATCTACAAACCATGGGCAAAAATCCCATTAAAATAATAGTGGATGGAACCAACCGAAGTCTTTTTTGGAAGACAGGTGAGCGATGGCTTCATGGTGAGGAATGGTAACGGAAGGAGGGCCATCTCTGATGGTACTGTCTCCTCCATTCCCAGAAGTTAATTTTAAAGGCGTATTGGCTAGAGCTGTCAGCATCTCTGCCACATTCTCTGTGAGGCAGGCCTCGTTTGTGGGTTGGAGAAATACAGGCAGTCCCCGGGTTACGTACAAGATAGGGACTGTAGGTTTGTTCTTAAGTTGAATTTGTATGTAAGTCGGAACTGGTACATATTTTGGGCGGGGGGAGCTGGAGTTAGGTGGAAAAGACCTTGATTCTCATAAAACTTCCTTATTTTAAGAAAAACACATACTGTTTTGATATGAAGGTTACGTACAAGATAGGGACTGTAGGTTTGTTCTTAAGTTGAATTTGTATGTAAGTCGGAACTGGTACATATTTTGGGCGGGGGGAGCTGGAGTTAGGTGGAAAAGACCTTATTCTAAGAAAAACACACAGTCCTTTATTCTCAAGCTGAGGTGTCTGCTGAGAAAAGCCGCTCCGCATCTCCCTGGTCTGCTGGGGGGAAGCAGCTAGTGCAGGGTTGCCTCACACCGTTTGTAAGTAGGGATCTGATGTAAGTCGGATCCATGTAACCCGGGGACTGCCTGTACCTAAAAGGAAATGAGTCTCCGGTAACCTAGATGAAGTTACTGTCATCCACGCCAGTGGTTTAAAAACTTCTTTCACTGCTCAAGGTGACGCCATAACTGACCACAAGTGTAATGGGAACCATGTTGTTCACACACTTCCACCCTGCTTCAATTTCCCCACCACCTCACATATCTACTTCCACTTCAAAACCACAGTAAGGCTTCATAAGCCCAAGGCTGCACTTGTACCTGATGTGAGGTGGACACTTACCATTTGGTCACTGGTATACTGGGACTGAACTAGTCAAACCATGTGCACACTAAACATGATCTGAGATATACTGCACTCCTTGCCTCAAAATAATGTGACAGATGTTATATCTCACACAAGCCAGTAGTTGTCAACTAAGTCATGGGAAAAGAAACCCCCCACAAATATTCACAGATATACTGAGGTTCATAAAGCCAAGATTTTGGTTTAGGTCTGTTGTTTGACGGTCCATTTCTACTAGGCCTGCTTGTGTACTGTATCATCACCTCCATACTGGATGACTAGCTGGATACCATCTCTGAAGCATATTAGATATATTTGAAGTATTGCCCATTAATTTAATCCAATGCAATATCTTAGGCCACCTACAGCAGGTGAGAGCTGGTTTATTTTTCTTCTTGACTAGTGGCAGAATGGACTGGGAGCAAAATTTTTAGACTCTGCCCTCAGTTATTTCTTCACTGTCCTCTCCCTGGTACAGAGTAAGTCCATGTCTGTTTCTTCTGGCTCTAAAGCCAAGGGATCCAAAATCATCAGCATGCTGTCCTTGGAAGGGGCACTTGGTTATTTCGGGATGACCCAAGTGGTCCATGTCATGCTGTATTTGACCTCCCTCTGAAAAATGGGCATAATGGTGCTTTCCTACTTCCCTGTGGTCTTGGGAGGCTTATTTCAATGCACACTTTGAGATGTTTGCATAGAAGGGGCATTAGGAAAGGGAGTATGACTATTATAAATTCCCTGTTGAAGGGGTTGGGAGAAGACTTACAAAGAACGAGAACCAGCCTCATGGTCATTGTTTCTGTTAGAACAAGAGATACAGACTGCTGGCCAAATTCCACTGCCAAATATATATGGCTTCTGGCAGGTTTAGTGGCTCTTCCTCTCAGGTGCATCTGATCATGGTACTTAAAGATCCTTGACTGACTTCAGTGGAGCTACTTTGATTTTCATCAGCTAAGGTTCTGAGACACCTTGCTTAGGACTTTTAGGGCCTACTTGTCCACTGTCTTAAACCAGTTGCAAGGCAAGGGAGCTACAGCGACATAAACCAGTGGTACCAAGTGGAGAGTTGGATCCTTAATCTTCAAGGGGCTTTATTCACCTTTAGTAGCTAAATCCACAGAGGGCCCTTTTGGGGCAGGTTAATTGTTAAATCTACTTCCTATAAGTAGAGAAGGCCCAAGCATAATTTTTTGGGCCCAATACAAACTTGTAACATGGGTTTCCTCCCATACACAGTCCCTCATCCGATACATATAATCTCATGAGCCGTGAAAAAATTTGTTTTAATTCAGAAATTACTGTTACATATTCTCGATGTCTTGATTTTTTTTAAAATTTTCATTAACCAATGTGACTGCAAACATTTTTTAATTAGGCCAATTAACTATAAAGCTTTATTTTGTATTGTCCTTTTTCATTGTAAAATTATGAATTTGCTTCCTCCCCCAAAGTCAATTTCTCTTGCATGGTCACACTCAATAGACAAGATAGTTAAGTGGCTCAACAGAGGTTCAGTGAGTTGTGTCGAAGGGAGTCTCTGTCAGTGCTCAGAAGGTCTCAGGTCCCAGCACTTCGACCTAATCTGTAAAAAAAAGATCTAACAAGAGAAATAAATTATGTTCTCCTTTGTAGGCTGGTTGACAGGGGGCAGTGGGGCAGTTGCCCCTCAGCCTACTCATTCAAAGGGACCTGCACTGTTGCTACTGCGACACCAGGGATGCCTGGAGCCCTGGGTCCTTTAAACCACCACTGGAGCACCACTCCACCTGCTCTGTGTCGCTCTGAGGGCTGGAGGGTTTGGGGACTCTGCACTGCAGTCCAGGCAGCACTGAGGGCTGGCTCCACCCCTTCCAGGGCCCGTGGAAGCTGTCAGCCCCCCTGCTCCTTTGTGAGGGTTGGGAAATACTGTGCTGTCTCTTGTACTGCCCAAGGATCTCTCAGTGTGGCGACAGATAAGGGCAATCTGAGGAGCTCGGTATGTCTACACTAGCTCGTTACTTCGAGCTAGGTAGGCCAATGAGGGCAACCGGAGTTGCAAATGAAGCCCGGGATTTAAATATCCCGAGCTTCATTTGCATGTTCCCGGGCGCCGCCATTTTTAAATCCCCCTTAGTCCGAACTAACCGCCCGCGGCTAGACGCGGCAGCTAAACGTTAATTCGAACTGACTCCTTAGTTCGAATTAAGGCAGCTAAACGTTAATTCGAACTACCTCCTCATTCCACGAGGAGTAACAGTTAATTCGAACTAAGGAGTCAGTTCGAATTAACGTTTAGCTGCCGCGTCTAGCCGCGGGCGGTTAGTTCGGACTAAGGGGGATTTAAAAATGGCGGCGCCCAGGAACATGCAAATGAAGCCCGGGATATTTAAATCCCGGGCTTCATTTGCAACTCCGGTTGCCCTCATTTGCCTACCTAGCTCGAACTAACGAGCTAGTGTAGACGTACCCTCAGTGAAAAGCCAACAAATGGGCTTGTGTAGGAGAGCGCATGATCTGTGCGGAAACTGGTACTTTGCCGTCAGACGGACAGCATGGCAATAAGAGATTTGTTGTCACTTGCAGAGGAATAACGTTCAGTTCTTCCAAGCCAGCTGTGGACTGACTGGTTCAGGATGCTTGGGATGCTGAAAGCATCCTGACCTATTTGGTAAGTGGTCTGTATTTTTTGCCTGACTGAGCACATTTGTAATAGTGTTCATCCAGGCACAAATACAGACCATTTACTAGTCCAGTGAAGAGGCCAGTGGGAATCTGGATTCAGAAGGAAGGTGATTGAGAAGAGCTTAGGGAGAGGGGGCTCTTGTGCTAAGGAGGAGGAGTGTCTGAAGTCACGGTGTAGCAAGCACCGCATCCTGTCTTGTAACCAAACTGATTTGCCCCTCTTCTGGGCTGAACCTTCCCCCTGGTGCTGGGGTGCCAACAGACTTGCCAGGTCCCTGGGCAAGGTGAGGGGGCTGGGCTCTGCACTCCCAGAAGAGGCGGGGCCTCCGGCAGAAGGGGCAGGGTAGGGCAGCATGCGCTCCCGGAAGGGGCAGAGCCTCAAGCAGAAGGGGTGGGAGTAAGGCAGCCAGTCATCAGTGCCACCCAGAGCGCACCATGCCTCCTCCTCCCAATCGGCCCTCAGAGCTGCCTGGAGCATGCCATGCAACACCCAGGCCCTTTTGAATCGCAGGGCAATTGCCCTCTTTGCACTCCCTGTCTGCAGACCTGCCCTTGTGCTATCATATTGCACCAACTCTGCTGCACTTCCCAGAGCAGCAAAGCACTTTCCCAAGGTGACAGCAGCCAGTGATTGTGGACTAGGTAACTTTGCTGCATAATCACCAGGCTGTTTTGGTGATGGGAGAACAGCAGCCTCGAAAGGGAGGGGTTCTGATTATATGAACTGCGCTCTGGTTTGAAAGCCTGTGCTGCCTTTTAGATGTTTATTCATTCAACTGTGCTTTCCAGGCAAAAGAACCCAAAGCAGTTATGAAGATTGAACATTTAAATGCGACTTTCCAGCCTGCAAAAATAGGGAACCCACATGGACTACAAATTACTTATTTGAAGGACAACAGCACAAGGAATATCTTTGTCTATCATGAAGATGGCAAGGTGAGCACTCAGAGCTAACCGAATAGGCTGGTTTACATCCCAGGTGACATGAAGGCCTCCACAGAGCCACCTATCACTGTGAGCAAAGCTTGAAACCATCTCGCATCTCCCCACAGTAACTAGGCCATGAGCTGGTGCAGAGACAGGCCTGGTCTAAGGGATGCACTCAGGGTGATCCGCTAGTAAGTGTGAAAAACTGGGACGAGGTGGAGGTAATTGGTGCTGGTATAAGACAAAACCCCAAATATTGGGATCAGGACTGTACCTAAGGGGGTGTGCAACCTGGGACAGCTCCCCCACTCCATGCCCCACCCCTACTTCACCCCTTTCCTCAAACTCCTACCCCCGCCCTGCCTCTTTCCAGCTTCCACCCCCTCCCCCAAGTGATGCTGGGGGTCAGTGGAGCAGAGCAGAGGAGACAGGCTAGGGCTGTGGTTGCTTGCTGCTGCCTCCACCAGGCCACCCTGGACCCTGCATCCCCTGAAGCATTGGTTCCCCAAAATTGCCCCAGTCCATCCTATGGACAGGATGACTCTGGTTGGGACTCTCCATACAAAAAGGGGACATCTGGTCACTCTAGCCTAGATATACTAATATGGCCTCTTCCCCCCACAACTTCCAAGCAATGGGTTAGTGACAGTAATAATTCTCTTTTTTATTTAATATGAAGCAGTCAGAAGGGTTAAAAGAGGTGGAGCCTCCTGGAGTGTGGGGTGGGAGACATCAGGCGGTCCCTGAAGGCCTCTAAATAAAGGAATGTTCTGTCTGAGGGGGGCAGGGAGAGCGGCTGGGCCAAGTGATTCCCATCAACTTCTGATCCTGGCAGGTTGAAAACCTCTGTACTGAATAGAAGGCAGAAATTGATGGGAGGAGGCTGACCCTGCATTGCCCCTGAAGGGATCGGTCACTTCCCAGACCCAGGGAGATTAGCAGCACGTAGAATCTAGTGGTTGCTCCCATCACTGGTGCTTTTTCAGAAAGTGGGGCTGGAGTGACAGGAGCCATCTCACAACCGAATTCCCTTCCCCCAACTCCTTGGAACCCACTAGATCAGGGCTACTCGACTTTGGATGCTTCAGTGGTCACAATGATACTCACAGCACAAGCCGAGGACCACAACTTAAGTGTGGTTGCGTATACATGCAAATATATATGCAAATATATGCAAATAGCTTCTTTCACACTGATGAGCATGAGTACAAAGATTAAGGCAAGATTACACGAAGGCCCCATTTAACTCAGTTCTGCTGATATTAATAAAAAGCAATATTTACCCGATTTCCACTCATATGACAGCACTTTTAATGAGCAATGACAGAAGACCATTACATTGATTACGTTTTTGTTTTGGCTCCCACCTGCGGGCCGCATGTTGAGCCCTGTGTAAACCCAAACTGCACTGCGGGCTGCAAACAAACGGGCCATGTGTTGAGTAGCCCCGCACTAGATCATAAAGCAAGCCCTGAAATGATCATCCAATTCGGGCCCACAACCATCATGTCTGTGGATTTACTTTCCTATGGTTGTGCAGCTGCCTTCATTCTTGGACGTTGCAGGAAAGTAAGGAGACACTGCGCCAGAACAGCACTGCAGGGTTTCACAGTACTAGCCATTCCTGCAGAAGGGCCACCTGACTGCTTACCCAGCTGCTCATGTCTGTCCACATGGACAATGCATATCCTAGTTCAGTGGTCTCCAACCTTTTTACACCCAAGATCACTTTTTAAATGACAGACCAAGCCAAGATCTACCGGCCCGCCCCTTCCTTGAAGCTCCGCCCTCTCTATTCTCCTCCTTTCCATCACTTGCTATCCCCAATCCTTATACTGCTACTTTAAAAAAAAATTCCCACCATTTCTCGCAGCTACTCACCTGTGCTGTTGCTCGGTGAGTAGCTGCTCCTCAAATGAGGAAATCTAATGTAAATGTACTGCGCAGGCGCACAGTTCAGAGAGGGCTTAAGAGCTACTCTTAGAGCCTCCGAGATCTACCGGTTAACCAATTAACTGATAAGCAAAAGCTTATAGGTTAATGCTATAGACTACACGCATTCGTATCCCCCCCCCACACACACCTCTTGCCATTAAATTTTTTAGCAGGCTGGCCAGCAGTTCAGCTCAGTCCTGGCTTGCGTTGGGTGCCGGACCTACCCCCGCTGTGGCTCTGCATTTAAAATGCATTAGGAGACAGGCAGGTAGGCAGCCCATCTCACTGCCAGCTTGTGGCGGGTCTGGAAGGTCAGACTCCTCCCCTCTGGATGGGGGCTGCTCAGGGACTGTAGAATAGTCGAATAACCAGTAAGAATTCATGAGGTTAATCGACTATTCAATTAACCAATATTTAACATCCCTACTATAAGCCCCACCTTTCCTAGTGGCAAGTAGGCAAGGGCAGATTCACTCCCCACCTCGTCTTCAGACAAAACAGGTCCCTGGTGCTAGGAGGAACAATGCCTCATGGACTGAACTGTAATACAAATGCCCTCTCCTTCTCTGTAATAGATACAGGGGGAGGTAATTAGTGAAAAACCCTTTTTGCTTCTATTTTGTGCTGCAGTGGATCTGAACTGGCTTCCTGCTTAGTTCTGACCCTCCATGTAGGCAGCAAAGTCAGGTGCCTGGTCAGATTAGTCACTAGAGTGGTGTTCTTCCAAGATGTCCACTTGTTCTTTCTAGCAAAGGATGGCTGGCTGGATGGGTGAAAGCAAACGCTGCTATCCCATTTTTAAATGGGTAGGTCTTTGCCCTAGGCAGGATTATGTCTGCATACCTTGTGATTGCTCTGGTTATTTACTTGCAGAGCTGTGTTTCTTTAGCCTAGTGGTGTGAATCAACTGGTGTGGCCTCTCCATCTTAGTACATTGCAGTTCATTGCTCAGCTCAGCAGGAGACTCAGTCACAGTAAATGATGCGGCGTATTTCTGAATCTCAATGAGCTGCCCCCGCAGCGGCTCTCCTCAGAAATTCTCCCTACTTCCCTTCCCTGTGTGTGAATTATGTGACAAGGTACCAGAGCCCTTATACAGTGGAGTAGGGGCACCTGATCATGAGATATCCCTTCAATACAGCAAGGTGTCACTCCTGTCACTGACAGTCAATTCTCCAGCAACAATTTTACTCCAGTGGCTCCTGCTTATGAAAGATGTAGTTGTTATCATGACTATTTATGATTGGTTTAGTGCTGATAATCTACTTGGCCCTGTACAGCACACAAAACAGAAACTTTCCCTGTCCCGAATAGCAGAGACAGGCACAATGAAACATACAGGAAAATCTAGACAAGGCTAGTTTTTGTCTTTTAAAATGATAAATACCCTGCTGAGCAGCCCCGTAGAAGATGTAGTTTGTGTGGCTTTTCTCTGTTCTTTTAAGAAGGATCTTGTGGTCTGATTCTTTTTTCACACTGGAGTTATTCCTGCTTTACAATGGTGAGAAAAGGTGAGTGAGGTCATATCTTTTGTTGGACCAACTTCTGCTGGTGGTAGAGGGCATGTCTTCAGTATGGGCTGGAGCCACAGGCAACGATCAGTGGAGGTCTATTTATCGTGTCTAGTATAGACGCGATCAACTGCCGAGCGCTCTCCCGTCAACTCTGGTACTCCACCAAAATGAGAAGAGTAAGCAGAATAAATGGGAGAGCATCAGCTGTCCATTTACCACTATGAAGATACTGCAGTAAGCAGACCTCAGGACATCAATTTCAGCTACATTATTCTCATATTTGAAGTTGCATAACTTAGATCAAAGGCTCACGGTAGTACAGACAAGACCAGGGATAAGTTTGTGAGCATACACTGAGCTGTTCTGCAGGTCAGAAGGAGAATTAGACCTCCAATGTATCTTTTACAGCCCAGCCCGAGGAGGGTTTACGGAGGTAGTTTAGGAGCTTAGTTGTACATCAACATGCAGTGGGGAGGAGGTAAAGTTACTGAGAGCTCTCGGGTGTTGCTCTCCAAATGGCTCTAATGCCAGAATGATCCTCTACTGAGCCTGGGTGGTCCAGAACATGGGAGTAATCACATCCTCCTTTAAATGTTTATTCAACCAGTTAAATAGTTATTAAAAGAGCTGCCCTGTTTCCCTCAGAGTTTTCACTGCAACAAAGTATTGCCATCTCAAATGGCTCTAAATGTTAAAAGCTAGTATTACATTTTAAATGGAAAATATATTAAGGCTAGAGACAACCTTGGCTAGCTTTAAAAAAGAGGAGGTGGGCCTTCTGGCCAAAGTGCAGGATGGGACTCAGAAGAACAGGATTCTGTTTCTGGCTTCCTGGGTGACCTCATTCCAGTCACATCATCTGTCTGGCCCTCAGTTTCCACATCTGCAAAATGAGGCTAATAGTCACTTCACCTCTCTGTAGCTTGGTTTTCCCTCCCAGCCTTTCTCTGTCTTATCTGCTTAGATGATAACCAGGGACTGTCTCTTAGGGTATGTCTACACTACAAAGTTAATTCGAACTAACGGATGTTAGTTCGAATTAACTTTGATAGGCGCTACACAAGTGCTCCGCTAGTTCGAACTTAATTCGAACTAGCGGAGCGCTTAGTTCGAACTAGGTAAACCTCATTCTGTGAGGACTAAGCCTAGTTCGAATTTACTAGTTCGAATTAAGGGGTGTGTAGCCCCTTAATTCGAACTAGTGGGAGGCTAGCCCTCCCCAGCTTTCCCTGGTGGCCACTCTGGGAACCACCAGGGAAACTCTATTGTGCCCCTCCCGGCCCCGAACCCCTTAAAGGGCACGGGCTGGCTACGGTGCCCGTGCCAGGTGCAAGCCTGCCAGCACC